GGGGACTTTTGGACATGGGATGAAGTGCACCTACTTAGAGAACAGGTCTGTCACTACCCAAATAACGGTGTTCCCCCCACACTCTGGTAATTCTACAATAAAGTCCATGGAAATCTCCCTCTAGGGTGTTGACAGGATTGCCACCATCTGCAATAATCCTGGGGTCTTTCCTTGTCTGTTTGGCTGCTGCGCAAACGGGACAACTGGCCACGTAGCTTTCAGTATCCTTTTTTATCAAGGGCCACCAAAACTGCCGTTTCATTGGGTGAAGGGTTTTCACGAACACGAAGTGCCCAGCTACTTTGGAATCATGACAAAGGCACATGAAGTTTAGTCTCTGGGCTTTTGGGACATAGAGCTTCCCCCCCAAGCATGGCAGCCCGTCATTCATTGTGCACAGGTTCTTATGGCCTAAGAGCTATTCGTCCTTTTCTAAGGCTTGTCTGAATTCCACCCCCGCCGTGCTCGCTAGGGGTTTGGGACTTTTTGTTTGTGCTCGCGTGGTTACTGGCGCCACTAGTTGCCTCAATAGCTTAAGAGGATCTGTTATCTCTGTTTTTGTACTGTTGTACTGTGATAATCATACAGAGCATCTGCTAGGAAGTTCTTCCCTCCCGGTAGGTGTCTAATGGTAAAATTGAAGCGATGGAAGTGCTGGGACCACCTTGCTTGTTTGGGGGATATTTCCTAGGTGTTTTTAAAGCCTCTTAAGTTTTTATGATCTGTCTATACTTGGAAAGGGATTTTGTTCCCTTCCAGGAAATGTCGCCATGTCAGGAGAGACCAACAAATGGTATAGGCTTCCTTCTCCCACACTGCCCATCTCTGTTCGGTTTCCGTGAGTTTCCTTGATGTGTACGCACAAGGTTGTAACTTTCCTTCGTTATTCTCTTGGAGTAACACTGCGCCTACTGCTACATCACTGGCACCTGCCTGGATGACGAAAGGTTTTTCGGTGTCTGGGTGCTTCAAGACTGGCTCTGCCGAGAACAGCCTTTTCAGTTTCTCAAATGCGGCTTGGCAGTCCATAGTCCATTTCAGTGGTTGGCTGGGCTTCAGTTTCCCTTCCCCCCCCCCGAGTCTTTAACAAATTAGTGATGGGCAGGGGATGAACTGACGATAAAAGTTAGCAAATCCCAGAAAACTTTGTAACTGTTTCTGAGTGCGGGGCGGAGCCCATTCTAACACTGCTTAGACCTTTTCAGGATCCGTCTCTATGCCGTTTTAAGATATGCAGTCCTCCAGATAATCAATCCTTTCTTTATAGAATTCACATTTGGACAATTTGGCATAAAGTCAGCACCCAGACACCGAAAAACCTTTCGTCATCCAGGCAGGTGCCAGTGATGTAGCAGTAGGCTCGTACCTTATTTAGCACCACCCTGACCAGTTTGACATGCTCTTCTTTGGTCTCTGAATATTAGCATGTTGTCCAAGTAGACAAGCGCCCCTTTGTAGAGGTGCTCCTGGAGCACTTCATGTATCAGTTGCATGAACACGGCAGGTGCCCCTTGCAACCCGAACGGGAGCACTCTGAATTGGAAACATCCCATGGGGCAGGGGTAGGCAACCTTGGCTCTTTTATGACTCGTGGACTTCAGCTCCCAGAATTCCTGAGCCAGCTGGCTCAGGAATTCTGGGAGCTGAAGTCCACGAGTCATAAAAGAGCCAAGGTTGCCTACCCCTGCCATGGGGCAATTGAACGTATTTAAAAGTATTTAAAATCTCTGCAACCATCAAAGAAGTTGGGACCAAAATTTGTGGGTCCTTTTCCCATTAATTAATATGGTAACTGTAGAACTAGAACTCCCCAAAACGCCAAGACAGGTCCACCCTGTATTTCACGGTAGCCTATTGAAACGAGAATTAAGCTTGCCATTAAGGCCAGCGGTAGCCCCTCCTCCTCCACCGATCATGGTAGAAGGAGAGCAGCATTCTGAAGTCAAAGACTCTAGAAGATATCATGGTTTCACACAATACCTAATAGCTTGGAAGGTCCTACCCCCTTCCCAAAATGAGTGGATCCATAAATGACACAGACTTTAGGTTTCATGCAAATACCCTAATAAACCGGACTAACCCATTTTTTTGTTTCCTCTACAGGTGGATCTCTATTTTTTTTTTAAGAGGGGCGGCATGTCAGAACCCGGTTGTTGGGAGTGGGGTGATTTCTTTACTCATGTGGGTTTTGCCATGATCCTGGGGGGAGGGGAGAACTATGGTGCTACAATGTATCCTCTCCGCTTCCCTCTATCTGCTTGCTCTTTGATCTATTTCCCTTGATGTCGGCCTGGGGTGAGAATGGAATGTGCCTCCGGCCATCTGCCTTATCTCTAGCTGCGGAAGAAGAGGCGCGAAAACCTAACAGTCTAACAGCCTTGGGAACCTTATCAACCCCGTTCCCACAGTGGGTCCACACCTGGGGATTGCGCCGTTTGAACTGGCTGGTTTAACTATTGGGGTGGGGTTTGCCAGTTATTGATTCGCGTGGGGAAACTCTCAGATCCCGCCTTTTATGCCTACTGTCAAGTTCTCCTAATAAAAGTTCCTTTTGGAATGAAGCTGTTTCAGGAGTTCTGCTTTCTTGGGAAGAGGGATTGAGGCAGGTCCTTACACTTTCTTTACCTTAGCAACTTTTAAGAAGTGTGGACTTCAGCTCCCAGAATTCCCTAGCTACCCATGTCTTAATGCCAAGGTTGAAAACTCTGGCCTAGGTCCAAGACCACCATTACATTCTGATACAACTCTAGGACATGTGTGAGTTCATCCACCCTGGTTTGTGAGCCATAGTTCTTTTCCAACGGGGCAGCTTGTTGGGTGTGAACCTGAAAAAGCGGTGAATGCACAAAGTACCAGAAAGACAGCCGTGGAAACTGACTTCTTGTGTTCAGGAAGGTATTTCATTTTGGGCAAGGCAGGATCAGACTGGAAACTCGGCTGACACCATGAGCAGAGGCTGTCCGAGCCTCCTGCTTTCTCAAGATCTGCCTCAAGGGAGTCAATCAATCAATCAGACTAGAGCTGAAAAGGACTTTGGAGGTCCTCTAGTCCAACCCCCTGCTCAAGCAGGAGACCCTGTACCATTTCAGACAAATGGCTGTCCAGTCTCTTCTTAAAGACCTCCAGTGATGGAGCACCCACAACTTCTGGTGGCAAGCTGTTCCACTGGTTAATTGTTCTCACGGTTAGGAGGTTTCTCCTTAATTCCAGGTTGCTTCTCTCCTGGATCAGTTTCCCTCTGCTGCCTCTTGTCTTGCCCTCTGGTAGGGGAATAAACTGACCCCCTCTTCTTTGGGGCCCTGCTTGAGTGGCAGAAAGCAGGAGGAGAAAAGGAAAAAGGCCGGGGGGGGGAGGGGGGAAGCACTGCAGGATGGCTTTGCCTGACCATGGAGGGGGAGGGAAGGGGAAGGAGGAGGCCTCTCTGCCTGAGACACACCCTCCGGCACGCAGCCTCCAGGGGCCCGCCTGCTCTGGGCCCCGAGAGGGCGCCTGGCCTCCTGGGGAATCCGAAGGCCTTGTTGCTCCGCAGAGCTACACAGAAAACAAGGGCGGAGGCTCCTCGGTGGGGGGCTGGCCCTGGAGCTCCGCAGGGCAGAAGGGAAGCCTCTCCTGGCAGGGGGACAGGGGGAGCATGTGGGGCCCCTGCTCTTTGCCCTCCCCCCTTTGCAAAGCCCCCCCCAACCAAGCACATGGCTTGGATGGGGAACCAGCTTGTGGGGCCCACTTTCTCTCCCTCCAACTGGTTGTGTGTGGCACATCATACACGGAGTTGCAATATATTAACATTTCCCCTGGATTAAAAACACAATAAAATATAGATGTTAGAAAAAGCTATTTCGGGTAACAGCGTCCAGGCCATCTGACCATTGTCCCTTCTCTCCCTCCAGCCTCCGCCCTGCCAGCTGCCTTTCCCTTCCCTTCCCTGCACCGCCCCCCCCAGTGGCCCTGGCGGCCCCTCCTGGCCCCTCCGGGCCTGCTTCCTCTCCCCCTCTAGCCAGCCTGGTTCCCACGGAGCCGCTCCCCCCCCCCTTCTAAGCCCTTCTCCTTCCACCTGGGGAGGAGGCCAGGCTGTCCAGCCCGGTTTGGAACGGCATCTGCGGCTGCTCCAGCCCGCCGGTCCGGCGCCTTCCCCCCCCACCCACTCCCGCCGCTTGCTCCTTTCCACGTTCTCTCCCTCCTCTTTGCACCCCGCCGTCCAGCCCCCGCTCCGTCCAGCTTCCAATCGGCCCTTTCGGCTTCCCTCAGGGGTCGTTCCGCTGGAAGACTCCCCCGCTCCCAAAGGCTCCAGGGCTGCTCAGAGGAGGCTGCCGGACGTTGGTGCAAGGGGGTCTCGAGCGCTTCTCCTTCCCCCCCCTCCAGGGCAGGCCCCGACCCTTCCCCCCTTCCAGCCCCAGGGAGACGCGGGCGCTTCAGCCCGGCTCAGCCTCCGAGCAAAGGACGGGCGCTACCGCCGACCTCAGCCTGGGGAACTGGCCCACGACCAGCCCCGGCGGAATCAAAGGTGCCCCGGGGCACGCGCAGAGCGCTTCCTGCCCGTCGTCCGCTGGCCACCGGCAGTAGAGCCGGAGCTTCCTCAACCGAGCTGAAGCCTCCCCCTCTCCCGCCGCCTCCGGCCCTGCTTTCGGGCGCCTTTCCGCGGAGGGAGGCCCGAGTCCGCCTGGCCCTGTTCGGCCCGTCGGGACCGCCCAAGGGTGGGGTTCTTCGCGGGGAGTGGGCGTAGCCAGTCCGGCGGCTCTTTTTGTCGGGGCGCCTCTTCCGGCCGCCCGCCGCTTCTCCGAGAGGAGGACAGGCCGCCCTCGCCTCGTTGAAACTGGAACTTGGTGGAAGGGAGGGGCCCTCGCGGCGGCGGCGGCGGGCCGCCCCGCCCGCTCCTCACCGCGGCGAGACCGCTCGGAAGCAGCGCCCCCCAAGCGGCGCCTCCGCACAGCCGCCCCTCGCGGGCGCCGCGGACGGAAAGGGCGCCTGGCTGCTGCCCCGGGAGGGTCCTCTGGGTTAACGGGATGGCCCGTTTCGCCTCTCGACTCGGGCGCCCGAACCTCGGATCCGGACTGAAACCGGCAGCCGACAAACAGCGACGGTTGCACAGGGGCGCGATTGAAATCCAGCTCAAAGGGGGCCAAGCCCGAGATAAAAGCCACGCGTCCAAAAGTAACGCGTAGCGGGGGTGGGGGTGGCCTCGCGCCGCCCACCCGAGAACGGACCCCCCCTTTGATCCCCCCCTGAGAGCGGACCCCCTTTTGACGGAGCTGGGTGGGCTGTGCGTTTGAGGGGGGAGGGGAAAGCTTCTTCGTCCAGGAGCCCTCTCTGCCCCCCCCCCGCTGGACCACAGGGGCTGTGGGAAGCAGGAGCCCCGAGTCCTCCTCAGAGGCCCAGCCCTTCAGGCGCTGCCCAGGGGGAGGCCGGCCTGGGCCAGTCGGGTGCCCTTCCTTCCCCCACCCCCCATCGTGGCCTTCAGGCATTACTGCTTCTCCTATCGAGGTGATACCCTCCCCCACCACTTTTGGGAGACAATTTTCAGCTGATGCCAGGATCCCCTGCACCCCCAGAGCCTGGGTGCCTTTTGGCCATTCCAACCTCCCCCCCCCACCCTGCTTTTGGCCATGACATTGTCCTCCAGACCATTTGAACAAGGAGCAGAATTAGACCGAAGGAGGCAATCCCCCCATAATCCCGCCGGAAGCATAGCCCTAAGTATGAACCGGTGGGGGGAGGGTCGCTCCTTCCCTCCCACCATCTTAAAGGACCAGCCCCTGTCCGAAGACCTTGCCCAGGCGTGTCCAGCACAAAAGCGTCCACTCTCCACCGTGTGTCCACCATGCCTTCCTTTCCCACCTCCCTTTGGCTGCACGGACAGCATTAGGTGTCCCATTGATGCTCCCACTTAACATATGGGACAACCCCCCCCCCCCAGGTTGCCCTACAGGGGCTTGACTGCTCCAGCCTCAACAGGAGAACCCCGGATCTGAGCCCCCCCCACAAGCCCCCCAGCCTTGAAGGCCTTTCCTTAGGCTCCCCTTGCAGGCTGCTCTTTTGCCCCTGGCCCAGCGCTGGGGGGAGCGGAGCAGAGGGGATCTTGCTTGGCCATCCAGAAGCCGGATCTTGAGGGATCCACGGGGGGGGGGGGCTGCCCTCTGGCTCCCATCACAGGGTCCAGGCAGCCAAGACCTGCTCAATGGCAGCTGCTGATTGTTTTTTCCCAACCCTTCCGATCTTACACTATTGTGCTTCTGCTTCCTCATCTAAATATTTATCCCCTAACCCCTTTTCACTCCCACAAAGCTCCGGGCTTGTGATCTGTGTGGCTTTGTCTGCAGAGAAGCTTTTTCCTCCGCTGTGTTTCAGCTTCAGGAATTTCTTCTCCTGCGGTTCCCCCCCCCTCCCATGTGCTGCCTTTGAAATAGGTTGGACTCCGGTGCCCCACTCCTCATGCCTCACCCCATAACAGGCCCAGAGGGGAAGGGGCTGCAGGGGGCCAACAGCCCTGAGGTTGCCAGGCCAAGGACCTTCTGCCCCCCACCAAGGCCACCCAGGCACCGCCAGGAAGTCCCCAGTGGGAGGCCCCAACCCAGCCCTCTGCCCCAGCAGCTGGGACCTGGGTCTTCTGCTGCCTGGCGGGGGGGGGGGGAGGAAGAGCCCTCCAGCCTAGCAGCCTCTGACAACCAGATCCACCTAGGTGCATTTGCCCAGGATCGCTGGGCAAGCCCACATCGAGGCCTCCCCCTAGACCGAGCTGCCTGCCGGGGCACCTTCTCCTGGCCAGCCCTCAAACTTTTTGGTGCCTCCCGTTGGGCAGCGACGGGGCCCCTCTGGATTTCCTGGACCGAAACAGCCCTGGCTTACGGGCGGGGGGGGGGAGGGGCGGTTGTCTTTGAGCCACCGATCCGATGCCCCCCTCCTTTCTCACCCCCTTTCTGGCACATCTGGCCAGGGATTGGGCCAGCCTGGATCGGTCACGGGGGGGGGGTTGAGAAGTGAGGGAGGGGCTCGCCGGAAGCCGCGAGCAGCATTATTTGTACTCCTGTCATTCGTCTTGTTTCCGTCGCTCAGCTCAAGTTCTCCGAGGCCCGCTGGAGCCAGCAGGGCAGCCGGGCAGCCCCAAGACTTTCCGAAGAGCCCTTCAGCCGGCTCCTGAAGAAGGCCCCGGCCGAGCGACGATCCGCCCCGCCTGGCTCGCCTCTCACCGCCCTTCTGCCCACCCCCGGGGGGGTGTCACTCCCTGAGGGGAAGGGGGTGGCCAGAACCTTCGCCCCTCCGCGCCCTCGCTTGCCTCCAGCCCGTCAGGCTGCTGCTTCGTCCGGTCGAAGCTCCGAGCGACCGAAGAGAAGAGGGCTGCCCGACGGCTACTCCCGAGACCCCCCCCGGCCGGTTGTTGCGAGGAGAAAAGCCGAGGCGACCGGAGCAGAGCACCCGCCCTCCACGACCCCCGAGGCCCCCTTTCAGTCACCCACGCCCGCACGCCGAACTGCCCTGCGCGAATCTCCCGCCGCCCCTTCCTCAGACGCGCAAAGGGTCGCTGAGCTCGCGCACAGACACGCCGGCCCCGTTCCCCGCCCCCCCCCCGGGCAGGCGACCGCGGAGTCACAAGCGCCA